GGATGGGGCATCAGAGGGTTAGGGTTAGGGTTAGGGTCCGGGTTAGGATGGGGCATCAGAGGCTGCGGGGTCCCGGCATCTGTGGGTCCAGTGTTTGGGAAGATGAACACGGAGCAGAAAAACCTCCAAATACTGAAACAAAACCTCCAGAGAAGCTCAGAGAAAACGCAAATACTGCAGCAGCTCGACTTCTTTCTGGAAGGTTCTAAGTGTTTCATCCGTCTGACTGAAGGATCTTTCTATCAAATGTTGTGCTGACGGGACACAGGCTGCCTCTGATCAGCACCCGGCGTCTCATTCTACTCAGAATCAGAATCAGAATCAGAATCAGAATCAGAATAAGGTCCTCTCTCTGTCTTCGTCCAGAGGAGGCCGGAGAAGCTCAGCCTCTGGGGCAGCACCAAGTTAGCCTGAGTCCCCCCAACAGAGCAGCGGTGAATACTCAGGCCGGGTTAGGGTTAGGTTTGGGGTTAGGGTCAGGGGTTTCGTCTGACTGAGGTCTGTCCTCCTGGTTTTAGAGCGTTCCCGGGTTAGGGTTAGGTTTAGGGTCCGGGTTAGGGGCTCCTCTGACTGAGGTTAGTCCTCCTGGTTTTAGAGCGTCCCCGGGTTAGGGTTAGGGTTAGCCTGAGTCCCCCCAACAGAGCAGCGGTGAACACTCAGGCCGGGTTAGGGTTAGGTTTGGGGTTAGGGTTAGGTTTGGGGTTAGGGTTAGCCTGAGTCCCCCCAACAGAGCAGCGGTGAACACTCAGGCCGGGTTAGGGTTAGGTTTGGGGTTAGGGTTAGGAGCCACTCATCCGGACGGACCACAAACAAAGGCGTCTTTGTGAGCTGCAGCCGAACCAAAGCGTGCCAGAAACCCTGTAAGCCGAGCTGTTTCTGCCTGAAATCCAAGTTGAATTAGGGAAAAACGGGCGGATAATAATAATAATAATAATAATAATAATAATAAGGCAATAAGGCCGCATTAGGGTCCAATCAGAAGTAGTTTATTACATCCACAGATTCCTGCATTAGGCTCCAATCAGAAGCCATTTATTACATCCACAGTTTCCTGCATTAGGCTCCAATCAGAAGTAGTTTATTACATCCACAGATTCCTGCTTCAGTTAATCTGCATTCTCCTGTCAGGGTTAGGGTCAGGGTTAGGGTTAGGGCTAGGGTTAGGGTTAGGGTTAGGGTTAGGGTTAGGGTCAGGGTTAGGGTTAGGGTTGGGGTCAGGGTCAGGGTTAGGGT